GGCGTGGCAGGGGGAGGTGTCGACAGAATCAGCTGGCGCAGTGACATTTTCATGCTTGCCAGTGGCGTGTAAAGTGTGCTGAAAGCTCGCCGATTGAAACCTGGTCAGCTTTCAGTGCAGGCAGAGCACAGCTGGTCTAGTGGTATTTTGGTAGACCAGCGGCGTATCGGCATACGTCACCAATGCCTCACAGGCAGGTTTCCACAGTGTCAGGCACATTTTAGTGCAATAAATGATCACACATACATTTAGATCTATATAGATATATTCTGATCTATATCTGATCTGATGAGCACGTTTGGCATGCGTTTGGACACACAACCTGACCGAATCAACACAGCTGGAACCGCATTAACTTAAATTAAATATCTAGTAAATAGACAAACATGATGAAGTTAACAAGACATGTAATTTGTCTCCCTCCTTTTCTTTCTTCCTCTTCCTCTTACGTCTCTTGCAGCTCAACCTGGACATGTCTCTTGGTATTTTGGTGAGCAGCACATCAAGAGATGTCTGAAGACAGTAATGCCACATGATGGCGACAGAACGCAGCTCCTCAACAAGTGTACGCTGTAAGCGCTGCATTGGGCGTCCTCCACACTCTCTCATATGAGCACAGGTGGATTTGGTGTGTGTAATGTTGGACCCACTGGTAAGACAAACACCCTTTTCCACAAATAAAGACACTCACATAATGTTGGATATATTTAAACCTCACGTGACAAAGGTGGGTTGTGCAGATGATGATGATGAAAGATGATTTGTTTCAGTGCTCAGATGAGTTATTTACTTTAAGCCTACATACGGATATTATAATATTCAGTTTTGTGAGCCAAATTTATTTTATATGCCAACATCTATGAAAGAAGGGGCCAGGCCACGGAGCGCGATGCGTCATTTACGCACAGATGGTTCCAATTTTAATGCCATTTTTGGAGTTTATGTTGTGATCTGTGCGCACAACCCACCTTTGTCACATGAGGTTTAATTTATATGCAACTTTATGTGAGTGTCTTTATTTGTGGAAAAGGGTGTTTGTCTTTGTAACTTTAAAGTAAATTAACACAATGTTACTGTTCTGTAACTATACAGTAAAGTAACACAATGTAACTGTTCTGTAACTCTAAAGAAAAGTAACACAATGTTACTGTTCTATTAATCTATGGTAATGTAACACAGCCTAACTGTTCTAAAACTTTGAAGTAAAGTAACAGTGTTATTGTCTCTAAATATAAAGTAAAGTAACAATGTTACTGTTCTATAACTCAAAAGTAAAGAAACACAATGTAACTGTTCTGTAACTCTAAAGTAAAGTAACACAATGTAACTGCTCTGTAACTGTAAAGTAACACAATATAACTGTTCCTTTACTCTAGAGTAAAGTCACACAATGTAGCTGTTCTGTAACTCTTATGTAAAGTAACACAATGTAACTGTTCTTTTACGCCAATAAAAGTAACACAATGTACCTGTTCTCTATCTCTAAAATAACACAATGCAACTGTTCTGTAACTCTAAAGTAAAGTTACGCAGTGTTACTTTTCTGAAACTATTAAGTAAAGTAACAGAATGGAACTGTATTTTAACTCTAAAGTAAAGTAACACAATGTAACTGTTGTGTATTTTTAAAGTAAAGAAAAACATTGAAACTGCTCTGTAAGTCTAAAGTAAAGCAACACAATGTAACTGCTCTGTTACTCTATACTTAAGTAACACAATGTAACTGTTATGTAACTATAAACTAAAGTAACACAATGTAACTGTTCTTTTACTCAAGTAAAGTAACACTATGTAACTGTTCTTTAAATTTTTAGTAAAATAAGAAAATGTTACTGTTGTGTAACTCTCCAGTAAGTAACACTATGTAACTGTTTTGAAACCCTAAAGTAAAGTAACACAATGTAACGGTTTTCTAACGCTGAAGTAGGGAAACACAATAGGCTCCATTTTCGTGTACGCTGGTGAGGCGGCGGAGGGTGGTGGACCCCGTGCAGTTGTATTTTTGTCTGGCAGAGCCCAGCGTACAGCCAGTTTGGTATTTTTGTGGACTGAGGCACACGGAGGCAAACCGAGCTGGGCGTGGCAGGGGGAGGTGTCGACAGAATCAGCTGGCGCAGTGACATTTTCATGCTTGCCAGTGGCGTGTAAAGTGTGCTGAAAGCTCGCCGATTGAAACCTGGTCAGCTTTCAGTGCAGGCAGAGCACAGCTGGTCTAGTGGTATTTTGGTAGACCAGCGGCGTATCGGCATACGTCACCAATGCCTCACAGGCAGGTTTCCACAGTGTCAGGCACATTTTAGTGCAATAAATGATCACACATACATTTAGATCTATATAGATATATTCTGATCTATATCTGATCTGATGAGCACGTTTGGCATGCGTTTGGACACACAACCTGACCGAATCAACACAGCTGGAACCGCATTAACTTAAATTAAATATCTAGTAAATAGACAAACATGATGAAGTTAACAAGACATGTAATTTGTCTCCCTCCTTTTCTTTCTTCCTCTTCCTCTTACGTCTCTTGCAGCTCAACCTGGACATGTCTCTTGGTATTTTGGTGAGCAGCACATCAAGAGATGTCTGAAGACAGTAATGCCACATGATGGCGACAGAACGCAGCTCCTCAACAAGTGTACGCTGTAAGCGCTGCATTGGGCGTCCTCCACACTCTCTCATATGAGCACAGGTGGATTTGGTGTGTGTAATGTTGGACCCACTGGTAAGACAAACACCCTTTTCCACAAATAAAGACACTCACATAATGTTGGATATATTTAAACCTCACGTGACAAAGGTGGGTTGTGCAGATGATGATGATGAAAGATGATTTGTTTCAGTGCTCAGATGAGTTATTTACTTTAAGCCTACACACGGATATTATAATATTCAGTTTTGTGAGCCAAATTTATTTTATATGCCAACATCTATGAAAGAAGGGGCCAGGCCACGGAGCGCGATGCGTCATTTACGCACAGATGGTTCCAATTTTAATGCCATTTTTGGAGTTTATGTTGTGATCTGTGCGCACAACCCACCTTTGTCACATGAGGTTTAATTTATATGCAACTTTATGTGAGTGTCTTTATTTGTGGAAAAGGGTGTTTGTCTTTGTAACTTTAAAGTAAATTAACACAATGTTACTGTTCTGTAACTATACAGTAAAGTAACACAATGTAACTGTTCTGTAACTCTAAAGAAAAGTAACACAATGTTACTGTTCTATTAATCTATGGTAATGTAACACAGCCTAACTGTTCTAAAACTTTGAAGTAAAGTAACAGTGTTATTGTCTCTAAATATAAAGTAAAGTAACAATGTTACTGTTCTATAACTCAAAAGTAAAGAAACACAATGTAACTGTTCTGTAACTCTAAAGTAAAGTAACACAATGTAACTGCTCTGTAACTGTAAAGTAACACAATATAACTGTTCCTTTACTCTAGAGTAAAGTCACACAATGTAGCTGTTCTGTAACTCTTATGTAAAGTAACACAATGTAACTGTTCTTTTACGCCAATTAAAGTAACACAATGTACCTGTTCTCTATCTCTAAAATAACACAATGCAACTGTTCTGTAACTCTAAAGTAAAGTTACGCAGTGTTACTTTTCTGAAACTATTAAGTAAAGTAACAGAATGGAACTGTATTTTAACTCTAAAGTAAAGTAACACAATGTAACTGTTGTGTATTTTTAAAGTAAAGAAAAACATTGAAACTGCTCTGTAAGTCTAAAGTAAAGCAACACAATGTAACTGTTCTGTGAATCTAAAGTTAAGTAACACATTGTAACTGTTCTGTAACTTCAAAGTAAAGTAACACAATGTAACTGTTCTGTAACTTTAAAATAAACTAACACAGTGTCACTGTTCTGTAACTATAAAGTAAAGTAAAACATTGAAACTGTTCTGTAACTCTAAAGTAAAGTAACACAATGTAACTGTTCTGTAGATTTAAAGTAAAGTAACACAACGTAACTGTTTTGTAACTCTACAGTAAAGTAACAAAATTTAACTGTTCTGTAACTTTAAAGTATAGTAACTCAATGTTACTGTTCTGTAACTGTAAAGTAACACAATGTAACTGTTCTGTAACCCTACCGTAAAGTAACACAATGTAATTGTTTCTTAAGTCTAAAGCAAAGAAAGACAATGTAACTGTTCTGTTACTCTAAAGTAAAGTAAAAAAAAGTAACTTTTCTTTTACTCTAAAGTAATGTAACACAGCATAACTGTTCTGAAACTTTGAAGTAAAGTAACACAATGTAACTGTTCTGTCACTCTAAAGTAAAGTGACACAATATAACTGCTATGTAACTCTGATGTAAAGAAACACAATGGGCTCTATTTTCATGCCTTGCCGGAGACGTGCCCTAATAACACAATGTTACTGTTATGTAACTGTAAAGTAAAGTAACACAAGGTAACTGTTCTGTAACTCTACAGTAAAGTAATAATATGTAACTGTTCTGTTACTCGAAAGTATAGTAACATAATGTAACTGTTCTCTAACTCTGAAGTGAAGTAACACCATGTTACTGTTCTGTAACTCTTAAGCAAAGTAACACAGTCTAAGTGTTCTGTAACTCTTCTGTAAAAAGTCCCATGGCATGCCAATTTCACACAACTTAAAATAGTCCTGTTGTGTGTTAATAGCATGTCTGTGACGTCCTTCGGTCAAAATTTGATTTGGATCAATTATTTTAGTGCTCTTTTTATCAGCTAAAAACAGCTCTGCTCAAAATCCTCCGTTTTGGGCCATGTCTCTTTAATGAAATGAGCTGCACCTAAGCCATGTCCACTTTACATCCATCTCTCTGGAAGGGGCTGTTGCTGTGCTCCGATAGCCATGTGCTAATGTTAACACTGGCTCGGTCATGGCTGCAAGAAGGTCGCTCGTACATCCTTCCAGTTTAAGCCAGAGTCTGACCCAGAGGGAGAGGCTCCGGAAGAAACTCTTAGCCGCGTTCAGACCAAACGCGACTTGAAGCGACCTAGTCGACACATCCTATGTATTATTCAAAGCCGCCAGAAGGGTCACGCTTAAGGAGGAAGATATGAATGTAGAAAAAATTACAACCAGAGCTCTGCTACAATGTAAGATTTTGGTGCTCTAAAACTTCTCTGAAGCCTTTGCTAATCAATAGGATGGCCGACCGTCCAGCATTAGCCGGGACCTGTTTTAATCCACTGCTCTGGCCGGGACGTCCCGTATTTGAGCCAAAAGAGGCGCGTCGCCGCACAGGTAAATGCTAAAGCTACATGCTGCTCCGGAGGGGTATTTTGTCGGGGAAGAAGCGAGCGTCTAAAATACGGGAGGATCCGGTAAACCGGCGCGGATATGGTGTGTTTATCAAAGCGTGGTGGCCGTGATGAGGCACCGGGGGGAATTTAGGCGAAACAGTAGGTCAAAACAAAGCGTTCATACTTACAGATGCCACATTTGTAGTAGGATCACGGATAGTTGGTACGGATCCATTCTTTTTCTTCAGACATCTAGCAAATCAAGCGTTGAACTGTCCCTCGTTGATAAAACAGAGATATTTCAAATCCTCCTACGAGGGAGTTTTCAAAAGAGTTTTGTGCTCGTTTTTGCAGCCAACAACAGAGAAAACGCTGCCTGTTTTTCAGATCGTACTTTCACCATGGTTCTAACCGGAGCAATGCAAGCCAGCAGCCGGGAATAATGGCGCTGTTTTGACATTTTTTGGGGCAGGGCAGTGGGCGGCTCCATGGGCAGTACCATCAACCCGCCAGCACTGACATGACGTCATGTCAGTGGAGTTTTCAGAACAGCCAGCTCTGAGCACACAGTTCCTAAATACGGCGATACCTAAAAAACGACTGGATGGAATTTTTTTGAACTTGGGGGATTGGAGCAGTTTTCTATCCCTGATATGCACCCCCCTCCCGTTAACAAAGTCAGTTTTTCATGCCATGGCCCCTTTGAATTAACACAATGTTACTGTACTGTAACTTTAAAATATAGTAACGCAATGTAACTGCTTTGTAAGTCTAAATTAAAGTAACACAATGTAACTGTTCTGTAACTCTCAAGTATAGTAAATCAATGTAACTGTTCTGTAACTCTAATGTAGAGTAACACAATGTAACTGGTATGTAACTATACATTAAAGTAACACAATGTAACTGTTCTATAACTCTTCTGTTAAGTAACACAATGTAACTGTTCTGTAACTCTAAAGTAAAGTAACATAATGTTACTGTTCTGCAACTCTAAAGTAAGGTAACAAAAAGTAGCTGTTCTGTTACACTTAAGTAAAGTATGTAGCGATTTGAATTAATAATAAATGTCTGAAGATTAATAATCTCAAATTATGACATTTATGCACTTGTTGAAAAGGGGCACCACCCACCCTTAATGGTGGGAAAATAAAGAAAAGTTTAACTCAGAAGTCAAACATCAAGTCAATCTTTAATTAATCAATCTCATATCTTAAGCTGAAATTCTCATTTCAGGGACTCCACTTCTGAAGAACACTAACAGACCTGGATTTAGAAAAATAATGATCTGTTTATTACAGGATAAATGATGGTACAACACACATGCAATAAATGACAATAAGATAATGAGGATAAATAAAAATAGGTGAATAAATAAAGATTCTGAGTCAGGCTAGGAGCACTAAAGTTAATGATAGTGAGTGAATATGCTCTAACATATTAACCTACACTAACTTTGGTGTCAAGATAAATTTGGATGTGGATTTGGAGGAATCTAAGATTACCAGAATAAGTGGATATCTGAGTTACCACCGCATGAGACAGCATCAGCCCTCTTTGGAGCTCTGGAGGTTTGCATACTTAAGTGAGACTGGTCCTTGGAGAAGATGGAGCAGGTTCCGAAGGTCTGGGGCTACCGGAGGTTCGAGCGGTTCAGCTCAGAAGACGACTGAAGTCAGCCAAAGGATGGGCCAGGAGTTGTAGCACCCGGGCCCGAAGCAAAGCTGACGCCTGTGGATCCTGTGGATGCTTGTTTGGACGCTTCTTTGGTCTCACTCAAAAACTCTGGCACAGAGGATGATCTGGGCCTGCTGGGTTGTGTTCAGAGGTGACTTTGAAATCACGCAGATAACTCAGAAAAAAAGAGGCTCGATGACCAGTGGAAACTTTCAAAAATGGCTTTGCGAAATTAAAGAAAAATCAATCAAAGGCTTAATCTTGAATTGCTATGCGCACAAAAAGTTGAAGTTTCAAAACTTGAACTAAGACGATGTTAAAGAAAAATCAACGTGAATCAACACGTGGCGTAAAACTTAGAAGACTAAGAAAAAGAGCTAAGAGAAAACAAAGAAGAGGAACACAGAAGGGTGTGGACAGTGAGTGAAGAAGCGGGTGTAAGAGAAAAAGGGAACAAGAGTATAAGGGTATGTGAGCAACCCCACTTTCTGGTTTTATCTTCTCACACTGGGAGTGTCTCTGCTGTGTGTGTGTGTGAGGAGAAAGAGCAGGGGTCGTGGGGTCTCCAGCTGCAGAGGAGACCTCGGATCTCTGATTATTTGATCTAATTTATACTTTTGGCTGGTAAAGGGTCAGATCTGATACTCACTCACTATGATTAATATCATTGAATGCTTGGTTTCATGAAAAAGATTTGATACTAAACACATATGAATGAAATGTAGGATCATATCAAACATTCTCATTATGTTTCAAGTATCACATTGAACATGCTAAATTACTCTGAAATGAAACAGAAAGTAACACATAGAAACTGTGAACAACAAAAGAGTAAACACATGTGAATGAACGTCATCATGATTAATAATGGATTCTAAATACTCACATTCAGATTATTCAATGACATTATTACCACCTAATTGTTAAAAATACTAAATAAACGATTAAAATATAAACCAAACATTTCTAAACCATTTCTGTTACTTAGAGTAAAGTTATGATTCATAGTCAATAAATTTAACTCTTAAAAGTTCATGAAATAGTCTGAAAAGCTGTTGGTCTAAAGAAACTAAAGAATAAAGGATTTATTCTGTCAGAGTGATAACTCGGCTTCTGGAGCACATAGAAAAATGGGAAACATCTCATTTTAAAACAAATTTCATGATTAGACAGATTAGTACATTGCTGAATGCATAAGATGTCATGATCAGTCATTTGTATTCTTTCACCAAAGGAATGCAGTTTTTATCAGTACATGGTTGAGCAGGGTTTTACGACCGAGGTCTGGAGGTCAGTGTCCTGCTCCTCAGAGCTTATCTTGGGGTCTGTATGTTTAAGACAGTAAATCACAAATGGGAGACCTGGATTGAGGCATGAATGATTATTTAGATGGTCAGCGATGGCGTCAGTTTGAAAGGTAATAAAAACTCTGTCTCTGTTCTCCGAATTGACCAATCGTGAAAAGTCAGAGGTTTGGTCACCCTCCGGTCGTGTCAGTTAGGTAACCTGAAAGTGCAAACAAGTCTGGAAAGATTTATATCCTGTGTCCTGGTACCAGATAAGAAAACTTTCCTGCAAGGAATGTGTGAGTTTCACATACAGGGTTGTCTTGATTGCTACAAGTAACACAATGTAACTCTCTTGTAACTCAAGTATAGAAACACAATGTAACTGTTCTGTAACTCTAATGTAAAGTAACACAATGTAACTGTTCTTTAGCTCTAAAGTAAAGTAAAAAATGGTTACTGTTATGTATCTTTAAAGTAAAGTAACAATGAAACTGTTCTGTTACTCTAAAGTAAAGTACCACAATGTAACTGTTATGTAACTCTGATGTAAAGTAACATAATGTAACTGTTCTGTTACTCTAATGTAAAGTAGCGACGTAAGACGATGCGAGGATGGACAGAGGGCATGGAGTGGATTTAACACAGTCTAGACCTGTAATGACCAGCTGATTCTGTCGACACCTCCCCCTGCCCCAACACCAAGCCAAGCTTGGCGGACCTTGGACCTCAGGAAAATACCAAACTGGCTGTACACTGGGCTCCGCCAGATGAAAATACCACTGTGCAGACACTGCCACCCTCTGCCGGCGGACACGAAAATAGAGCCCAATGTAACTGTTATGTTACCCTGATGTAAAGTAATACAATGTAACTGTTCTGTAACTCTTAAGTAACACAGTGTAACTGTTCTGTTACTCTAAAGTAAAGTAACACAGCGTAACTGTTCTGTAACTCTAAAGTAAAGCAATGTAACTTATCTGTAACTCTACATTAAAGTAATAAAATGTAACTGTTTTGTAACTTTAAATTAAAGTAACACAATGTTACTGTTCTGTAACTGCAAAGTAACACAATTTGATTGTTCTGTAACCTTACAGTTAAGTAACACAATGTAACTGCTTTGTAAGTCTAAAATAAAGTAACAAAATCTAACTGTTCTGCAACTCTTAAGCAAAGTAACACAGTGTAACTGTTCTGTAACTCTTCTGTTAAATTAACACAATGTTACTGTTCTGTAACTCTAAAGTAACACAATGTAACTGTGCTGTTACTCTAAAGTAAAGTGACACAATGTAACTGCTCTATAAATTTTAAGTATAGTTACACAATGTTACTGGGCTGAAACTCTTAAGTAAAGTAATACAGTGTAACTGTTCTTTCACTCTTAAGTTAAGTTACACAGTGTAACTGTTTTGAAACTCTCAAGTAAAGTAACACAATGTGACTGTTCTGTAACTCTGAAGTAAAGTAACACAAAGTTACCTTGCTGTTACTCTAAAGTAAAGTGACACAGTTTAACTGTTCTATAACTCTAAAGTAAGGTAACATAATGCAACTGTTTTGTAACTCTAAAGTCAAGTAACACAATGTAACTATTCAGTAACCATGAAGTAAACTAACACAATAAAACTGTTCTACTTTAAAGTATAGTAAAACTATGTAACTGTAACTCTACAGTAAAGTTAAGTTACACAGTGTAACTGTTTTGAAACTCTCAAGTAAAGTAACACAATGTAACAGTTCTGTAACTCTTAAGTAAAGTAGCACAGCGCAACTGTTCTGTAACTCATATGTAAAGTAACACAGTGTAACTGTTCCGTTACTCTAAAGTAGAAATACACAATGTAACTGTTCTGTTACTCTAAAGCAAAATGACACAATGTAACTGTTCTGTTACTCTTAAGTAAAGTAATACAATGAAGCTGTTGTGTAACTCTACAGTAAAGTAACACAATGTAACTGTTCTGTAACTCTAAAGTAAATTCACACAATGTAACTGTTCTATAACTCTAAAGAAAAGTAACACAGCATTACTGTTCTGTGATTCTAAAGTAAAGCAACACAATGTAACTATCCTGTAACTCTACAGTAAAGTAACACAATGTAACTGATCTGTAACTCAAAAGTAAAGAAAAGCAGCACAACATAACTTTTCTGTATCCTTAAAGTAAAGTAATACAGTGTAACTGTTCTGTAACTTTAAAGTCAAGCAACCCAATGTAACTGTTCTGTAACTTTAAAGTAAAGTAACACAATGTAACTGTTCTGTAACTCTACAGTATAATAACACAATGTTACTGTGTAGGAGCCATTTTTGTTGCGCTGCAATACCAATTTATGCCAGCGGGTGGTGGGTGTGTTTTCTTTTTGTTATAAAGGTGGGAACTTTGTGTCACTGGGCAGGTGTTGCCGGACGGAAGAGCGCACAGTTTTTCAACCGCTATTAGATATGCTTTTGGCACCGCTATCTCCGTTACCGATGCATTGCTGTGGTGTTGGACTTGATATTTCTACAAAATGTGAGAAATAAAAGATCACATAAAGCAAACATGGAGTGGACTTGACTTCATTGGACGTGCCAGTAAGTGTAGTCAGCGCGTTGTTAAGTTTAGCCTGTCCTGCAACCCCTCAGTGGCTTCAAGCTGGGGTTTAGCCACTACACAAGATGAAAAACTGCTGAAGTCAGTGGGAAGAGCTTCACCGTCAGGCGGCGTTGGATGTCGCGGACGACGCTACAGTTTCTAGCTGATGGGATCCGGGAAAGCCGACATCAACGTACCTGAGGGAGCTCACCTATCGCATGCGACACCGGGAGAGAGGACGCCGCCGGGAGAGAGGACACCGGGAGAAAGGACACCGGGAGCCAACCTTCAAACGCTGCCGGCAAAGGAGTCATTCACCGGGATCATCAAGGCGTCCACCGTGAGTAGTAGCGCTACAAATTTATGAATGGCCATTCATGTTTAAGTGCAAAATTGTTCAGTGCGTAAATCCAATGCATTGGTGGTCAAAGATGGCGAACAACGAACGTGATCGAAGTTGCGCGTGTGGTTAAATCAATGTGGATGTTGGTGAAACTGTGGAAAATCCCGCAGAGGCTGTTCCGCAATCAGCCGAAATGAACATGAACATTGACAATAATGCGCAAAAGGACAAGCCAAAACGCGTTGTAACTCTGACTGCTAAAGCCTTGGCTGAAAAGTTTGATAAGTTGCAAGCTACTAGGAAAGCTAAGCTAAGTAAGGCAGGTGGCTTAAGAGAAAAAATTAAAGGGTTAATGCAAGCAGAGTTGCTTGCTCATGCTGCAGCTTTACAGAAAATGCATGCTTTGGAGGAACAAGAGCAACAGCTTAAAAGGAAAAAGCAACAGCTGGAGCTGGAAGCAAAGCTAGCTGCATCTATTGCTAAATTAGCAGTGCTACAAGCTTCTGAGTCTCGGAGTGGTTCTACAGCAGCATCAAATGCAATGAATTCCTACCTGGACAAGCACAAAAAGGCAACAGCTTCTAAAAGGCTCAACCCAATGGCAAAAACATACAAACCAGCAACTCAGAGCAAACAGGAGGCAAAGGATTGGTCACTGCCAGCACATGATCTTCCACCAACTGCTACAATAGCAGAGGAGGCTAGGCAGCCATGCACAGTGCGACTGGATGCATCCTCACAGCCTATGGAACCTACACTTTTAAGCGCTCAGTCAACGGATGAGAGGCAATTTGGAAACATCTGTGCCATAATGGAAAGGCAGAATGAAATAACAGCAGCTCTTGTACATCAGCAACGCTTAATGTCACTGCCAGCACGTGACATTCCAATATTTGATGGGGATCCTCTTCAGTACATTTCCTTCAAGCGAGCCTTTGAGCAAGGAGTGGAGGACAAGGTCAGCAGAGGGGATTGCTTGTACTACCTCGAGCAGTTCATCAGAGGGCAGCCAAGGGAACTGGTTCGGAGCTGCCAGCATATGGCTCCAGATTACGGCTTTACTCAAGCAAAACAGCTGCTTCAAGAACACTTTGGCAATGAGTATAAGATCGCTACTGCATACATTGAAAGGGTTCTGGCTTGGCCTGCAATAAAAGCCGAAGATGTGAATGCAATGCAAAGTTACTCTCTCTTTCTGCGTTCATGTTGCAATGTCATGGAGAGACTGCAGTACATGAGGGAGTTAGACAGTCCAAGTACCACGAGAGCAGTCATGTCCAAGCTACCATTTAAGGTGAGAGAACGATGGAGGACTGTGGCACACGAAATATTAGAAGCATCTGACCATAGAGCTGTTTTCAGGGATCTGGTTGCATTCATTGAAAAACATGTCAGAATAATATCTGTCCCTCTATTTGGTGACATTCGAGATGTTCCTTCTGGATTATCTATTTCCAAGGTCAACCCCAGGATGAGGTCACAGCCAGTGAGTAAGTTGAGAGGAAACAGCTTCGCCACCACCATTACACCAGCACAATCAGAGGAGAACTCCAGAAGGTTAAAGGTGGATTCACCGGTGCATGGATTTGTGCAGAAGTTAACTTGTGTGTACTGTTCTGGAAGCCACTTATTGGAAGCATGTCAGCAGTTTGAAAAGAAGAAACACAGAGACAAAATAAGCTTTCTAAAGGAAAAGGAGCTTTGTTTCGGCTGTTTATGTGCTGGGCACATGAGTCAAAACTGTGATAAGCGCTTGACTTGCAGGGTTTGTAGTCGAGGCCACCCCAGTGTGCTTCATATTGAACAAAATGACAAAGATAAGACACACACAAAGTACTCCAAGGAGCCGGTGGCATGTAACATCACAGCATCTCATAAAATGTGTGGTCATACAGGGGCCGGAGATGATCGCTGTCTTCTTTCCATCCTCCCAGTCCGAGTTAAATCCATCAAAGGAGACCGTATCATCAACACTTATGCATTCATGGATCCTGGCAGTACCGCCACCTTTTGTTCAGAACAGCTTATGCAGAGGCTCAATCTTGCTGGCAGACGAACTAACTTTCTCCTACAAACTATGGGACAGGAAAGGGTGGTCCCTGCCTATTCAGTATCTGGCTTAGAAATAGCTGGTTTGGAGACTAACCTTTTCTACAACCTTCCTGAAATCCTCACCCAAAAGAAAATGCCTGTAAGCACAGACAACATTGTGACTGAAGAAGATCTGGCAAAGTGGTCCTACTTGTCAAAGATAAAAATTCCCAACATAAAGGCTAACATGGATCTCTTGATTGGAAGCAACGCTCCCAAGCTATTGGAGCCTTGGGAAGTTATAAATAGCCAAGGGGAAGGCCTGTATGCTATAAGAACAGCATTGGGATGGATAATTAATGGCCCTTTACAAGGAAATGGAAGCAGCTTGGAAGACAAGGTCCCTTCAGTGGTTGTGAACAGGATTTCTGTGAGCAGGTTGGAAGTTATGCTAAAGGAGCAGTACAACCATGACTTTAACGAGAGAGCTACAGAGGAAAAGGGGCTCTCGAGGGAGGACAAGAGGTTCATGGAGATTGTGGAAAGTTCTGCTACACTCAGCAAGGGTCATTACAGCTTGAAGTTACCCTTTAAGAAGGAGGATGTGTCTCTGCCCAACAACTTCGCTGTGGTAAAACAAAGGTTGCAAGGTCTGAAAGGGAAGTTCCTTAACAATGAGCAGTTTTATGAGGAATATAAAACTTACCTCAATGGGATGATCAGTAAGGGCTATGCAGAACAAGTACCTGCGCAGCAGCTTGATGGTGACATTGGAAAGGTGTGGTATATTCCTCACCACGGCGTATACCATCCAAGGAAGAGAACACTGCGGGTGGTGTTTGACTGTGGTGCAGCATGCAAGGGAACGTCGCTGAACCAACAGCTCTTGCAAGGTCCAAACCGCACAAGTACATTGCTAGGGGTCCTCATTAGGTTCAGACAGGAACCGGTGGCAGTAATGGGTGACATCCAAGCAATGTTCCATCAGGTCAAAGTAGCAGAGGAGGACAGAGATTTCCTGCGCTTTTTGTGGTGGCCAGAGGGAGATCTTACCAAGGAGGTGGCTGAATTCCGCATGACTGTCCATCTGTTTGGGGCAGTGTCCTCCCCAAGTTGTGCCAGCTTTGCTTTAAGAAAAACAGCAGATGACAATCAGCTTGACTTTCCAGCTGCAGTGGTTCAGACAGTCAAAGAGAACTTTTATGTGGACGACTGGCTGAAGAGCATGGGCACAGAAGAGGAAGCCACACACATGGTTAATGATCTGACTTCTCTCTGCCAGCGGGGAGGTTTCACTCTAACCAAATGGATTAGCAATAACCGTACCATGCTGCAAACTCTTCCTGAGGAGCACAGAGCTAAGGATCTGATAGAACTGAATCTCGATAAAGACCAACTGCCTGTGGAAAGAGCTCTTGGGCTGCAGTGGTGTGCTGAGACTGACTCATTTAATTTCAAGATGGAGGTCCAGCAAAAGACTTGCACTAGAAGAGGAATGTTGTCCGTCTCTAGCTCTGTGTATGATCCTCTGGGGTTTCTTGCACCAGTTGTGTTGCCTGCTAAAAGCATGCTACAGGAGCTGTGCAGAAGAAATTTTGGATGGGACGAGACCATACCCCAGGACATTTTGCATCAATGGACAAAATGGATGGAAGACCTGGATATGCTCTCTGAGTTTAAGGTCGGAAGGTGTGTTAAACCTAAGGATTTTAGACATCCCATACATGCTCAGCTACATCATTTTTCAGACGCTAGTGAAACAGGATATGGAGCTGTCACCTATCTCAGGATGCAGAATGAGAAAAATGACATCCATGTTGCATTTCTGATTGGTAAGGCAAGGGTTACACCTTTAAAGACAGTTACCATTCCACGCTTGGAGCTGACGGCTGCTGTCCTGGCTGTTCGTGTTGACCTCATGCTAAAGGCAGAGCTGAGGCTTCAGCTGCAGGAGTCAGTCTTCTGGACGGATAGCACGTCTGTGCTGAAGTACATCATGAATGAGGACAAGCGTTTCCATACGTTCGTAGCCAACAGGATCTCAACTATCAGAGAGGCCACTAAAACTTCACAATGGAGGTATGTGAGCTCTAAAGAAAATCCTGCGGATATTGCATCCAGAGGAGTGAGAGTTGGAAATTTCATACAGGACAACAGGTGGATTCAGGGTCCAAAGTTTCTGTATGAACCAGAAGGTAACTGGCCAGCAAAGCTGGTAGATATTGCTATATCAGCAACTGACACAGAGGTCAAGAAGGAAGCCACGGTGAATGTCATCCATGTGGAAGGTTCACCTGAAGCCACTGGTCGGCTAATAGCCTACTTTTAGACTGGATGAAGCTTAAAGTATCTGTTGCCTGGTTTCTTAGGCTGAAAGGCATTCTGCTGGAAAAATGTTGCAGGAGGAAGGAGACGGAGGCTTCCAATACCAGCAAAATAAGATCAGACACGCCTAAGAAACAAGCTTTGACAGTTCAGGAACTTTTGGAGGCTGAACTAGCTATCATTCAGTATTGTCAGCAGCAAAGATTTGGAGAGGAAATTGCTGCACTGTCATCTGGGAAGGCTACTGTGAGCAGAAGCAGCATTCTTTACAGGTTGGATCCATATTTGGATAATGGGCTTCTGAGAGTTGGAGGGCGGTTAACAAAGGGCTCACTGCCAGAGGAAACTAAACATCCACTTCTACTCTCAAAGGATCAACATGTCACCACTCTTATCCTGAAGCACATTCACATACGGTTTGGTCATAGTGGACGCAATCACACTCTGTCCACACTGAGAAGAAGGTGGGTCACAAGTGCCAACTCAGCTGTCAGAAAGGTCATTGCAGAATGTGGTGTTTGCAGGAGGTATAATGGAAGAATGATGAAGCAAAAAATGGCAGATTTGCCAAAGCAAAGGATTCTTCCTGATTATCTGCCATTTACCAATGTTGGCATTGACTATTTCGGACCAATTATTGTAACCAAAGGACGAGGTACAGTCAAGCGCTATGGCGTGGTTTTCACCTGTCTAACCAACGGAGCGGTCCATTTGGAAGTGGCTAACTCTCTGGATACAGATTCATGCATCAATGCTTTACGTCGTTTCATCTACAGAAGAGGTCAAGTTGCTCATATTCAATCTGACAATGCAACTAACTTCATAGGAGCAGAGAGAGAGCTAAGAGAGGCGCTTGCATCACTGAATCATGATCAGATTCAAGCAGCTTTGAGGAAGGATGCAGTTAACTGGAGTTTTAATCCCCCAGCAGGTTCACATCACGGTGGAGTCTGGGAGCGTATAATCCGCATGGTAAGAAGGATTCTGAGTTCAGTGCTTCAACAACAAAGACTGGATGATGATGGACTTCAAACAGTGATGTGTGAAGCTGAAGCCATCTTAAACGATCGTCCCATCACCAAGCTCTCCGATGATCCAAACGATCTGGAACCGCTCACCCCCAACCATATTCTGCTCATGAAGGGAAGACCATCTTTACCACCTGGATTGTTTGAGCCACATGATCTGTATGTAAAGCGAAGATGGAGACAGGTCCAGTATATATCTGACCTTTTCTGGAAACGCTGGATACGGGAATATCTACCTCTACTGCAGGAAAGGCAAAAGTGGAACCAGGAGGTGCTGGTGGCAGAGGTGGAGGAGCGACAGCGTGTTTTGTTTGGCAGCCTGTCCAGTGGCGTCAGTGCAAAACAAAAACGCTTGGAGTGGGAGAAAGTTTGCGAGAGGGTGAATGCGGTGGGTTCCGAGACACGCACCCCCGCGAAGATTAAAAAAAAGTGGTCGGACCTCAAGGTGGAGGTCAAGCGGCGTACAGCTGCCCTCCGGAGGAGTACTGGCCAGACAGGTGGGGGTCCGGGGGAGGAGACCCTCACGCCGTTTGAGCAGCGGGTGGTGGCGATTATTATTATAGGGTAAGTGGCGTGTCACACAAATGTCCACATGCTTTGTCATCCCACTGAGCAAAAGACGTATATTAGACATCTAGTCTAAGTTTATACTTCATTTCAACGTCAGGATTCAGTCTATTTTTAGATGTGATTTATACTTCGCCCTTAACTTCATTTTTCGATAACTTTTTATGCAATAAACAACTGTAATGTGCATAACTGACCTCTAAATACTGGATTACATTACCTATGATACCGTGGAGAGAGATGTAAACGCAACAGATACACAGAAGCAGGAATTGAAATGAACCAATATTTTTATTGTGTCACAGAAATCAATGTGTCGGCCATGTCGCCGGCTTGCGGAACCCCGGCCCGCGGCAGCCCGTCCGCCGGCTCGGAGTCGTCGGCCAGGACCAGCGGCATTCGGGCCACCCTGGCCCCAGCACCAGCACCAGCATCAGCACCAGCGCGCCAACAAGCGGTGGAGCGTCCACCAGCCGCGGCGCTTCCGCTGGACCACCCGGACGCAGTGGAAGGGTCCTCGCGGAGGGGGTCCTGCAATCGCAGGAAGAAATCATCAGGGGGATCGCGGGGATCAACGAGCGGCTGGACCGGCTCGTAAATGTCCTCGAGTGTCTGGTGGAGAAAATAAATTAATTTGGCTCATTGAACTGTGTATTCACTTCTTACCCATTCACACTGTGGCGATGAGATTCTCCCGCGCGAGGACGGCGGCCCGGCAGGGACCAGCTCGCATCCCTCCGTCTGCTGCTGGTTCGTCATGTGGGGCAACGTGCTGCTCGGCCACGGGGATGTGGTGCACGCTTGTCACATAGTGAATCACCAAACACCACCACACAGCGTCGCCAAAGTGCGAATCACAGTCAACGCAAGTATCAGTTGCAAGTAACGCCAATTTCTACACCACCTCCTGACTTTGCGTTGATTAGCGCTGGAACCGACGCTCGTTTCGCGATGATAAATCTGGACGTGTGCGCCGATTTTGACGTACGCAAGATTTTCTGGCGCCGCCAGCGTTGATACATAAGGCCCCAGGTGCGTTCAGTAAGTTTACAGACAAAGTCAAGCGTCATTGAACGTCCTGTGACAAAGCTTTGCTGGCTTTGTGAAGGTACAGAATAGAAGGTCAAAGGGTCAAAGATTCACATGAATATCATACATGAAATAATTTTGTGCTGTAAATGTGGTCATTGTATTATTTTTGATTATGGCTCCCTGGTTTATATTTGAAAAAAAATTGTATGTCTGGTATCCATTACAATTAGGGGCCGGTGTGTAGGAGCCATTTTTGTTGCGCTGCAATACCAATTTATGCCAGCGGGTGGTGGGTGTGTTTTCTTTTTGTTATAAAGGTGGGAACTTTGTGTCACTGGGCAGGTGTTGCCGGACGGAAGAGCGCACAGTTTTTCAACCGCTAGAAGATATGCTTTTGGCACCGCTATCGCCGTTACCGATGCATTGCTGTGGTGTTGGACTTGATATTTCTACAAAATGTGAGAAATAAAAGATCACATAAAGCAAACAAGGAGAGGACTTGACTTCATTGGACGTGCCAGTAAGTGTAGTCAGCGCGTTGTTAAGTTTAGCCTGTCCTGCAGCCCCTCAGTGGCTTCAAGCTGGGGCTTAGCCACTACATACTGTTCCTTAAATCTAAAGTAAAGTAACACAGTGTAACTGTTCTGTAACTCTACAGTAAAGTAACACAGCGTAACTGTTCTGTAACTCTAAAGAAAAGTAACACAGCATAACTGTTCTGTGACTCTAAAGTAAAGAAAAGCAGCACAACATAACTTTTCTGTATCCTTAAAGTAAAGTAATACAGTGAAACCGTTCTGTAACTTTAAAGTCAAGCAACCCAATGTAACTGTTCTGTAACTTTAAAGTAAAGTAACACAATCTAACTGTTCTGTAACTCTACAGTAAAGAAACACAATGTAACTGATCTGTAACTCTAAAGTAAAGAAACACAGTGTAACTGCTCTTTTACTTTTAAGTAAAGTAAAACCTGTTGCTGTTCTGTAACTCAAAAGTAAAGAAAAGTAACACAATGTAACTGTTTTGTAACTCTAAAGTAAAGAAACACAATGTAACTTTCCTGTAACTCTGAAGTAAAGTAACACAATGTTAAGGTTCTGTTACTCTAAAGTAAAGTAACACAATGTAACGGTTATGTAACTTTAAAGTAAAGTAACACAATGTAACTGTTTTTTAACTCTAAAGTAAAGTAAAAAAATGTAACTGTTCTGTAACTCTGAGGTAAAGTAACTCAATGTAACTGTTCATTTACTTTACAGTAAAGTAACACAATGGAACCGTTCTGTAACTCTAAATAAAGTAACAAAGCGATATTACGTCAAGATATTTCACAGAAAGTTACGTTAACTTCCATTAAGTGAGGTAACACAATGTAATAATAATAAATCACACTTTATAAGGTCATGTATCTTGAGGTAACTTGAGGCTAAGGTTTTCCAAACACTTTAACACTGATGTCAGCACAGACGTTTCTTATAAAGTTATAAAGTTGGACTCAAACATCAGTGAGTTTCGGTGGAGAAGTCCATCTCAGGTGGGCTTCCTTCAGACCTCCTGGACCAAATTAAACATTTCAGTCCAGGAACTTTGACTCTCCGGACCCAGAACCTTTTTGTACGGTTGGTCCTAAAGGTCAGACCTGAGAGATCCAAAACTACTGATCCTACACACAGACAGGTACAAACAAGTACACACAGAGGTCACACAAGGACACACAAGTACACACAGGTACAAACAAGTACACACAGGGACACACAAGTACACACAGGTACAAACAAGTACACACAGGGACACACAAGTACACACAGGTACAAACAAGTACACACAGGTAGAAACAAGTACACACAGAGGTCACACAAGTATACACAAGTACATACAGGTACAAACAAGTACACACAGGGACACACAAGTACACACAGGTACACACAGGTACAAACAAGTACACACAGCGGTCACACAGGTACATACAAGTACACACAGGTACAAACAAGTACGCACATGGATACATATATATACAAACAGGTACACACAAGTACACACATGGATACATATATATACACACAGGTACACACAAGTACATACAGGTACACACAGGGACACACAAGTAAACACAGATACACACAAGTACACACAGGAACACACAGGTACACACAGGTACAAACGAGTACGCATAGAGACACAAAAGTACACACAGGTACACACAGAGTTCATGCAGCAGCTTCAGATGGTGTTTATGTGTTAGAGTGACAGAAGTGTTGATATACTGAGTTTGTACTTCTCTAGAAAGAAAGAACAGGAAGTGACAAACACACACACACACACCTTCTGTTAGTTTCATGGTCGTCACTTTCTGATGAACTTGTCCACGGTCAGGATGGCGTTCTGGGACCAATGGTTTCTGTGGAGCTTCATTGTCTTCGGTGAGGACTTCATTTTAACTCTGAAAATCTTCTCATGATCCTGATCTGGACCTGTTTTTGGTTCTAAAGTCTCCCTGTGTCCTGTCTCCTTGTGTCCTGTCTCCTTGAGCCCTGAGTCGAGTCTGAAGGTCTGGGTTTGGTCCCTCTCTCTGTCAGTTTTCACAGGTTCTGTCTGCGCAGTGGTCAGATCCAGCATCACCATCAGCAGCTTCATGCCAAACACCAATCAGGATGGGAGGAACGAGATCAAGATCATCAAAGTCCTCTGGTGTCAGAACCATCTGATCTGCCAAGGCCCGACCCCGAGCGTGTACGACAGTCTGAACCCCTAAAACAACAACCCCAGATACCAGTACCTGGGAGAGCTGTAGGGGGACTGTACTCTACAGATCCAGGATGTGAGGAAAGAAGACAAGGCAACAAGGATGGAGGTCAACAACACAACCGGGCATTATACCAGCCAATCAGGACTGAGCATCACTGTCACAGGTAAGAGCATCATCATCATAATCATCATCATCATTATCATTATCATCATCATCGTCATTATCATTATTACCATCATCATCATTATCATCATTGTCATCATCATTATTATAATCATCATCATTATCATCATTATCATCATCATCATCATCATCATTATAATCATTATCATCATCATCATCATCGTAATCATCATCATCATCATTATCATCATCATCATTATTATCACCCTCATTATCATCACTATCATCATGATCATTATCATCATCACTATCATCATTACTATTATCACCATCATCATCATCATCACCATCATTATCATTATCATTATCATCATCAATATTATCATCATCACCATCATCATTATCATTATCATCATCGTCATCATTATCATCATCATCATTATTATCACCCTCATTATCATCACTATCATCATAATCATTATCATCATTACTATCATTACTATCATCATTACTATTATCACCATCATCATTATCATTATCATTATCATCATCATTACTGTCATCATCATCATTATCATTATCATCAGCATCATCATCATCATCATAATTGCATCACTATCATCATTACCATTATCATCAGCATCATCATCACTATCATAATCATAATTATAATTATCATCATCATCATCCTTATCATCATCATCATCATAATCATTATCATCATCATCATTGTCATCATTATCATTATCATTATTATCATTATCATCATTATCATCATTATCATCATAACAAGGTGTGCCCAAGCATATTTTTGTATGTTGGTGAGTGGCGCAGCTTGGCTTAAGTATCCCCCCTTCCTAACTCAGCTCCTCCCAGTGGGGTAAGTCGTAGAGTGGGCGTGGAGTGGGTTTAACACAGCCGAGATCTGTATTGACCAATACTATCAGCTCTCTTGCCTCCTCACCAGCGAGGCGTATTACAATTTTCGTGAACTAGTCGAAGAAATGTCTAAAGACAGCAACGCCATACGATGGCGACAGAAGGCAGCCCCTCAACAAGTAACGCTGTAAGCGCTGCAGAGGGCATCCCAGGGAGGAAAAAAACAAACTTCACAAACACAACAGTAAAAAATACACACAGCAACACATAAAACAGGACATGGATCCAGAAAACCAGGAGAGCTAAAAAACCAGGACTCCAACCAATCAGGATGGAGATCTCTGCTGACTGTGAGGTCAGGAGGTCAGGAGGTCTGACCATCTGGACTCAAATCCTCCAAATGAAGTCATGAGACTGTACGCCGGTGGAGGGTGGTGGACCTTGCGCAGTTGTATCTTCGTCTGGCGGAGCATGGCGTACAGCCAGTTTGGTATTTTCGTGGACTGAGGCGCACCGAGGTCCGCCAAGCTGGGCGTGGTGGTGTGGCAGGGGGAGGTGTCGACAGATTCAGCTGCCGCAGTTACATTTTCGTGCTCGCCACCGGCGTATAATGTGCGCTGAAAGCTCGCCGATTCAAACCTGGTCAGCTTTCAGCGCAGACAGAACACAGCTGGTCTCGTGGTATTTTGGTAGACCGGCGGCGTATCGGCATATGTCACCGATGCCTTACCGGCAGGTTTCCACAGTGTCAGGCACATTTCAGTGCAAAAAAATAATCATCAACAACTAATAATCTGACTCAGCACATACATTTAGATCTATATAGATATATTCCGATCTATAGCTTCTCTGATGAGCGCGTTTGGCACGTGTTTGGACACACAACCTGAACGAAATCAACACAGCTGAAACCGCATTAAATTAAATTAAATACCTAGTAAATAGATACACATGATAAAGTTAACAAGATATGTAATTTGTCTCCCTCCTATTCTTTCTTCCTCTTCCTCTTATTTCTCGCTCTCCCCATCCTGCTGCAGCTGCTGCTGCAGCGGCTGAACAGATGATTTATTTTAGCGATCAGATGAGTTATTTAGACATAGATTGATACAGACACAGATTGATATAGACATAGATTGTTACAGACTCAGACTGATATAGACATAGACTGATATAGACATAGACTAGTATAGACATAGACTGATAGACTCAGACTAATATAGACATAGATTGTTATAGACTCAGACTGTTATAGACATAGACTGATATAGACATAGTGTAACGGGTATTGACTGGACCCAATTGCAGCACAAACAAGCAGGTTCACTTTAACAACAGTCTTTATTGAACACCAAATGCAATGAAGCAGCAGAGTATAGCAGGTGGGTATGGCAGGATTCGAACTCGGGTCTTCCGGGTGATAGGCGAGCAGATTAGCAGTGAACCACAGGTCAGGCAAGAGTTTTGGACTCGTGAGCAGGGAATTGTCCACAGTCTTAATTTGCTCTACGAGTGTAGTGAAGGGGAAAACGCTCAACTCACAGCTGGAGGAAGATTTCTTGGAGAGTGGTTCAGGTGAGGACTGGGTGAGGATCCAGAGCTTGCAGAGGAGCTGGCAGAACCAACGTCGGCAGAGGAGGTGAGTTGGCGAGGTGAAGCTGACGAGAAGGGGGATCTCAACAGAGCAGGAACAGGCTGAGTGCCATTCAGCCGCAGGCAGACGAATAGCAGGAACCAGGCAGGCAAAGCTCGTAGTCAAGGACAGAAGGCAGGTAGGTTTACCGGGGCTGAGGCGAGAAGCAAAGGTCAGGGGCAGATCAGGTCGATACCAGGTAAGCAGTCCGAGGATAAACGCTGGAGAGTCAGGCATGAGAGCGAAGACAATCTGGCAAAGAGTGAGGGGAAAGAAGCTGCATATATACTGGCCTGATTGGAGATGATGAGCAGGTGAGAGCAGCAGGTGGAAGCAGTTAGCTGATGAGGGGTGTGGCTGAGCAGCAGAGCAGGAGAGGGCAGAGCAGACTGTTACAGAACCCCCCCCTCAAGGGATGGCTCCCGACATCCCAAAGGTTAAACTGGGGGTGGGGGGGGGTTGGGCCTAAAACTCCTGGGAGCAAGACCTTGTCATCTCTTCAGCAGGGTGGGTGGAGGGGGTCTGGAGGAGGGTTTCTTGACGGGCTGACTCATTGGCTGGCTGGTCAGGATGTTGCCGATGAAAGTTGGCCACGAAGTTGGGGTCCAAAATGTGGCGAGCAGGAACCCAAGATCTCTCCTCAGGACCGTAACCCTCCCAGTCCACAAGGTACTGGAGACCCCTACCCCGCTGCCGAGAACGAATTAAGCGGCGCACTACATACACCGGACCGCCGTCGACCATTCGTGGAGGGGGAGGTAGTGGTGCCGCAGGGACCAAGGGGCTGTTGTGGACTGGCTTAACCTTGGAGACATGGAAGGTAGGGTGTACTTTCATGGACCGTGGGAGTTTCAACCGGACTGTCACAGGGTTGATGACCCTCTGAATGGTGAAAGGCCCAATGAACCTCGGAGCCATCTTCTTGGATTCCACCCGGAGAGGTAAGTCTTGGGTGGAGAGCCACACCTTCTGACCCGCTTGGTAGGTAGGTGCAGCAGTACGGCGGCGATTGGCATTGGCAGTGTAACGACCCACGGAACGGAGGAGGGTGGAGCGAGCCTGGAGCCATGTTCTGCGGCAGCGACGGATGAAGGCTTGGACTGATGGACAGGAGAGCTCCTTTTCCTGGGCTGGAAAAAGTGGTGGTTGATAGCCGTAAGCACACTGGAATGGAGAGAGGCCAATAGCAGAGCAGACGAGGGAGTTGTGGGCATATTCCACCCACAAAAGTTGTGACGCCCAAGAAGAGGGGTTCTGCGAGGCCACGCACCACAGGGCTGTTTCCAGTTCTTGATTCATACGCTCAGTCTGTCCATTGGTCTGAGGATGGAATCCAGAGGACAGACTGGCGGTAGCACCCAGTAGACTGCAGAACTCCCTCCAAAACACGGAAGAAAACTGGGGACCACGGTCTGACACCACATCAACAGGGAGACCATGAAGACGGAAAACATGGAGCAGAACCAACTGGGCAGTCTGTTTAGCAGTGGGAAGCTTGGGCAGAGGCACGAAGTGGACCATCTTGCTGAAGCGGTCCACGATTGTCAGGATGACAGTGTGACCATCAGAGGTGGGAAGACTGGTTACAAAGTCCAAAGATATGTGAGACCATGGGCGGTGAGGAACAGGAAGAGGTTGTAGTAGCCCAGCAGGAGGCCGACGGGAGGTCTTATGTTGGCTGCAGGTTGGACAGGCCTTGACGAATTCCCGGACGTCCTCTTGCACAGTGGGCCACCAGAAACGTCGGAGGAGGGCATGCTGTGTCCGTTGAATCCCAGGGTGGCAGGAGAGCTTGGAGGAGTGGGCCCATTGTAACACCTCTGATCTCAAGGCTGGTGGCACAAAGAGACAGTTAGACGGGCAGGAGCTGGGGCCCGGCTGTCCTTCTGTGGCTGCCTTCACCTTCTCCTCAATGTCCCAGGTCAACATGGCTACAAGGCAGGAAGTAGGTAGGATGGTCTCAGCTCTAACAACAGAATCCTCTGTCCTCTGGAACTGTCGGGACAGGGCGTCAGGCTTGACATTGCGGGAACCAGGACGGTAAGAGAGGGTGAAGTTAAAACGGCCGAAAAACAGGGACCAGCGGGCCTGGCGAGAGTTCAGTCTCTTTGCAGAGCGTATGTACTCCAGATTCTTGTGGTCAGTCCATACAAGAAAAGGTTCCTTCGTGCCCTCCAACCAATGGCGCCACTCTTCTAAGGCCATCTTTACTGCCAAGAGTTCCCTATTACCAATGTCGTAATTCCTTTCTGC